AACGAAAAAACCCGCATACCAGAAACTAAGACTAAGTGAGGCCTTCAAGTATTGGTACGAAAGTGCAAAATCACGGCTTAGCGTTACAATTAAATCCGCATAATGTGAAGCAACTGTGGTGAATTGATGTCATTTGATTTGATGGACATTTGACGAATTAGCGGTTTCGTCAACTTAGCGCATTCATAATTCGTTCTACATTGCGGTCGACATCGGTATTGTCTTTTTGGCGGCACTTGAAACTTTTGTTTTGGAAATTGTTTATGTAAAAATTACTTTTATTGTTAAAAGTTGAAGAAAAATCAATAAAATTTTTTATTAATAATTGTGCAGGATATGTAATGGTAATAGCACGTGTCTAGTACGTGTGTATACTGACCGAAATGTCTAACAAAATTGATAATTAATTGCAAAAGTACTTCAAAACTTTGGTTTCACTTTAAGAGAAATGTGTTTCTTTTTTATATATCATATTTAAATATATACTAAATATTAATAGTATTGATATGTACTGCGAAATTGTACTTATAGTTCATTGTCCTTATGCTATTCCTGCTATATATGTATAGATACACCATATATGTATATATATAACCTGTATAATAAATTAAATTGTGGAATATTCCTAACTGTGAAAAACTGGACATATTTTTGTTTTACGTATTAACCTATAGAGTTCCATACTCTTAATCTTTTACATGTTTTTTTATAAATAATTAATATTGTTTTCTGCCATATAAAATTCATAACAAATTGAATGTATACCATCATTATACATGAATACGTATTTAATAACCACATATTTTATAAATAATTTCAATTATGTATTTAATTATTAAGTATATGTGACCATATAGGATTGTATAAAAAGTATTCGGCATTTTGAATCAAAATTGTGTTTTTTTATTTTAAAAATAATTGTTCTACTCCAAATGCTAATATTTTCTATTTTCCATGATTTTTTTGGATAGAATCGATGTTCTTATATTGCAGAATTTCCTATTTTTGTTTTTGAAAACTAACATTTCACCAGATGCCTTCCGGTATTCTCTATTGAGGCCCATTTTATGTCAGCAAAAGATTGTTGAAGAAATTCGAAAAAACTATTTTACCAATGACACAACTTTACTAATAGTTATTTTTCTACCTAGGAAATTTTCATATCAAATTTTTTAATTATATTTTCAAATAAAATTGAATTATCTTAACATTACACACGGTTGCTGTGGTCGCCACACTATAATCGGATGATGCTATATTAAAACAGCGGATTATTCAAAATATCTTAGCTAATACTTTTAAATTTAAGACAGACCACAAACAATAGGTGAAAACTAGTATTATCATGAGCAGACACCATAAAACTCTTGACCAATCCTGTCCTTTTTTGGAATTTCTGGTTTAACCACAATAATTGCTAGAAGTAGAGTACAAAATCAATCGGTTAGCCAAACAATCTTAGCGTACTCATATAATACATGTCACCTTTTCAATCCTACTAAACACGTACTAACACAGCCGTCAATCCCGGTTTTGCTACCATATGTTTCATCCTATTTGGACCGATGCCGTTTTATACAATATTATCGTATCCATTAAATTCTTTTTATTTAGATTAAGAGGTACCCAAATATCATTCTATTTTTTTAAAGAAATTTGTAGATATATTATGAAATTATGATGTGGTTTCATAGCGATAATATTATTTTTATGAATCGACAATTATCTCAAAGTCCATTTTTCAAGTTTTCCAAGTTTTTGGAGACATTTCTATTTTATTTTCATACTACCAAATTGAAATCAATTGAACCTTTATCTGTTATTTAATTGCGATAGATAATATACACAATACATAATTCAACTCTTTTTATATGCCTGGATGGTATTCTTGACCTTATAGTAATTCAAGTGATTAAAACACCCTATATTTTTTCCGAAATTTTATTTATATGCGTTTTGCAATATCTTTTAAGACGAAACTCTAGTATCAATAAAATATTTTCCAATATTCAGCTGATCTGCAATCTGTCAAATAAAACAAAATTCCTTTCTGTTTCATTTTATTTCTTATTAAACAGTGGTAATTCAATATATATATGTGTAGATATAGTCCTTTGATTCATTGTTGTTTTAGCCCGATAACTTTCGCGGCATCACTTCTACGTGCTAAAGGCCTGACTGAGAAACATTAATTGCCTTAGTTTAGAAAGGGCACTATTTTTAAAATATTTTAAAATAAATTATATCGTAATAATTTAAGTAATAATAAAGTAATAATTTATAAAATAATAAATACATTTTTTGTGTTATTTTGCTATAATTTATATAATTTATGTGTTATATTTTTCTATTAAGAAACTTATAGTCACCCAACTTCTGTCCATTCAAGAATGATGTCCACTCAAACAGGGTTGAATTGTTTGAAATACTTATAAAACCAAAATTTAGTTCTGGAATAATTATAGAATCAAGTGGTACCCATGAAGAGAACTTTGACTTTACATATAACATAATATATAAAGTCGGTTTTGTTTTTTAATTTTTATTTTAATTTTTATTTCGCATGTTGTAATTTGTGTATCTCTAATTCATTATATTCAATAAAATTAACAATATATAAGATTTAAATTTTTTTTATTTTTTCTCTGAAGTATTATATATCTAATAAACTTCCTTTATGGTCTTTAATCTAAAATTATACAATGTCAAGTCGATCACAACGTATATATTTTTCTTCTAATATTTAAAGTTTTCAATATCAATATTTATCAAATAACCATAAAAATGATGAAAAAAAAATGAATAAAATTCATTTTAATCAATTTATTTAATAAAACTAAATTGCTTTTCAATATTTTTCGCACAAGATCCAAAAGAATATTTATATAAAATTTTTATTCAAAGTTTAACAAAATTAAAAATTCGCACAAATAATCCACCCCGAAATAAATCCAATTTTAAAAGCAAACCGACATTTTTCCAACGAATTATTAAATACGAGAATCCTTGTACGTAAATCCTTGTATATAATATACATTTAAATAAGGAATAAGTTTAGTAAGTATAAAAAGTTTCCCTTATTTTGATTGACAGCTCTTAGCATCCCTGATGGATTTCATACTTACGAGCGCGTACCAGGGAATGAGTGAACGTCATGCCAAAATGACAGCTCCGTCGAACAGAGACACGGCGATATGCAAACCAAAATTTTAACTTTTTTTATTTAATTTCGCATATATAAAAATTTATATACAGTATCTTCTCCATAAGCATACATTTTTTTCCAATTTTTATATAAAAACTTTTACTTAAATACGCGAATATAGAAAAAACTTTTTCACTTTTCCTCCAAAACATTTTTTAATTTCGATGGCTTTTTGGTATTGATTGCCGCTTAACATAAACTTCCATTCCAGACAAAATGAAAAATTTAACTCAGTTTAAAATTTAAATAACTTAATAAATTGAAATTGTTTATGAAAAATTGTTGCCGAAGAGAAATTGTAAAAAAGCCCTTTTCGGGCCCATCGCAGACTTATTAAAAGTGTAATAAACCCCACTTAATGACTTTTTAATAAAACAGAAAATGCAGGCGCTGTGAGAAGAAAGTAAAAATGAAAAAAAATAAGCAGAACTTAAATGTTTTGTAATATTTAAATAAATTTTATACTTATTTTTATACTAATTTTACATTTAAACAAACAAAGAATTTAATTAGTTAATATACATGGAAAATATAAAATTAGTTCTCGGAATGGTTCTAAAATTTATTTGGGTGGCTCTTAACAGAGCAATTATGGAAGAAAACTGAAAGTATTTAATAAAATAAATAAAGTTAGCAACCCAAAGCTAATTAGTTATTATTATTATTATTATATATGTTTTAAAACTAATATATGATAAAATTTGTGTAAATTAAACAAAAGAACCTCTTATTCAAATCGGTTAAGTTCTAGTTTTTCTGTAATGTATAAATATGATACCAAAACATCTCAGTATGTGAAGATGTTCTTTAGTTTAATTAAACAGGCTCCTCTACTTAGCACTATCTAATCTAAGAGTAATCACTAACCGCACGGGGCGGTAAGATTAGGCACAAAGAACAGTGTAGGAGCTATAGAAGCTCTGCGTACATGTCCACAGCTTTCAACGGATCTCAACACTATTCTCTACTTGATATCAACAGAGTTAGAGATTAAAAGTGTTTCAGTGCCGATACTTAGATTGCAAGATAGTGGATGCATAAGTCCTTCAATATTTAATATCAGATATCAGGCATTATAATGTACTTTATTCATAAACGTTTTATAAACCTTTGATAACTATAAAACATTTATGAATAACATTTTTGATAAAATGTATTACAAACCTACTATAACTTTTTATGAATAAGGCCAAAAGTATATAATCTTAATGTGGCAGGTCTAAGGTAATATATTCTAATCAAAGTACGCAGATCTCAATTAACTGAATGACGTGTCAGCTAAAGAAGACCACTCAAATAATGAAAAGTTAACTTTGTATCAATGAAAAAGAATTAGCTGGAAAGATGTTATCTAACCGCCTATATAAACCCTTATCAAAATATCTTGGTTTACAGTTGTACAACACATCATAATACTTACTAATAAAAATAATATTACATAGTACTTAAATTAAGCAATGAAAACCAGACATTATCTATGCAATTGAATACTAAGATGAGATGATGAATACAAAATAATTCAATTTAACGATATTTATTATTGCAGTTATTGTAATAATATACTTTCAGTTATATATTTAAATCTTAACATTAAAAGATAAATTAAACTAAAGAAAATTGAACTACAGAACTTCTTTCATACAATCTCTACACAGCCAATTGGATTTATATATTTTAACAGATGGTTCGAGTATAAAATGCATGGTATGTGCATGAAACTATTTAAGTCTAACCACCTTTAAAAAATTCTTTCACCTAGCACGTTCTTTCAGTGTCTTCCAAGAAGTCTTTACAATTACGGAGGCGTGTCGGCTGATTTGACTATATCACTGACTATATCATAATTGCATTTTTATTAGCAATTTATTTTGGTAAAAACTGTATATTACATAGAAATCATCATTGACTTGCCTATATATACCCATTACTACAAATACTTTTACAAAAAATGTTGTACCCTTGCGACCCTTGCAATTTGACCGGTCACAACCTCCACAATTATTCTACGGAATAAAATATAGTCATTGA